CCCCGCGCCTCCCCGCCCGGCACCCGCCCTCCACCCGGCGCCCAGGCGCGCCCCTGCTTTCCGGCCAAGGCGGTCACTCCCAGCTGGATGGAGCCCTGAGGGCACGGGGCCCCGCTCAGCCACTGGGTGTGGGCATCTCTGCCCAGCTGTGGCCCGCGGGCAGCGCCAGACACCTGGCTCAGCACGGCAGGGGCCGCTCTCGTCCAGCCCTGGCCTCTCGGGCGGGCCCCAGGGACGGCTGAGTGTGGAGGAGGGGGCAGGGACGGGATGGGGGTCCCGGGGGAGCCTCGGGGGTGGACCCTGTACACGGTGGCTCCTGGAAGCCCCTCAGGAGAGGGCATGGTGGGAAGGAGGGCGGGCAGGGGCCGGGGCCGCCCTTTGCGGGGCCAGGAGGGCCAGGGCACCGCGGGGCAGTGGGCGTCTGGGGGTGCAGATGCCTCCCAAGCTGTTCCCCAGGCCGGCAGTGGGTGGGCGCGGACCCCAGCGGCGCTGACCCCTCGCCTGCCGGGCTGGCTGTGGGCGTCCCTGAGGCTGGCACTGCTGCAGGGCAGCCCTGGTGAGGGGAGGCCCCGAGGACCCGCCCCACTGCCCAGCCCTGCCCCAGCTTCCCCACCGTCCCTAGCCCTGAGGCCGGGGCTGCTGCGAGGACACACTGCCCGCCCGCCCGCCCGCCCGCGGACAGCTCCCAGGGGAAGGCAGACCGCAGCAGGGCCTCCCTGCAGCTGCGCCCCGGCCCGTCCAGCGCGGCCAGCAGGGGGCGCGTGAGGGCCATTGGGCCTTGCGCAGACCCATGTGGCCGCCAGCCCCCGGCCGCCACCCTCCAGAGGAAGCCAGGGCAGGGTGCCCCAGAGCCTCCTCACTGCCCACCTCGTGGGGTAGGAGGTGGCCTGCCGCTGCCCTGGGGGCCGGAGGCCACCTTCCTGGGCTGTGTGTGGCCCTCGGGGTGCAGCACCCCACAGGGCCATCGACCCCCAAGTCAGCAGGGCCTGGCTGCCCCAGGGTCTTTCCCCAGGGAGTCGGCCACGGGCTCTGCGGGCTGTGCCACCTCCCTGCCCACGCTCACCCCAGCCCAGGGCCAGGCTCCCACGACTCCTGCCAGGGAGAGCACCCCCGGGTGCGCACCCCCGCGGCCGGCTGGAGCATTCAGCGCCCCACGCACGGCCTGGCTGGGGCCGCGGCCTCTGGTCACAAGGGTGTGGGGTCTTCCCCACCCAGTGCCCTTTCCGGGCCGGTCCCCAGGGTGAGGTTCGCTCCCCAGGACACGCGGCTGCCCGCGGGGCTCCCCCACCTGGCGCGGCCCGGCGTGTGGGGCCAGCTGCTGGGTGGCCAGAGTGAGGCCGCCTCCCACGCCCTCCTGCCCAGTCCTTGGGCCAGCGTGGCCCCGGGCCCCCGAGACGCTTTCGGCTGGCCACCACGCTGGCCTCTCCTGCCGGCCGCGGCCGGGCTGGCC